CCCTATAGCGAAAACCTCTCAAAAAAAAAAAAAAAATCCCTGTAGGCTAAATTACTTTAATTTTTAAAAAATTATGAAAATATGGGGCCAGAATGTGGTGTGGTAGTTAAAGCACTGGATTCCCACATGGCTGATCACAGTTTTGAGTCCCAGACCTGGTAGCTTCCTTTCTCACTTTCCTTCTCTTTCTCCGTGTTTCTCTCTCTCGTGAGCACACATACCCCATGGCAAATTAAAAAATAATAATAAATAAAATAAATTAGTCTAAGAAAAATTATGAAAATAATTACATTAATAAATTACAAAAGGATTTTCCTACAATAGCACCATTATTGTGGATTTAAGATAAATTTTGTATTTAAAGTATTTTTCAAAATTTGTTTATATGTTTTTTACAGGTTCATAGAGAGGCATAAGAAATTCTTTAGACCTTTTATTATGAAATATTTATTTTTTTTAGAACAAGTTTATACTAAAAGAGCAATATTAACCACCAAATTGTAGTTACCCTCTGCCTTCAGTTAACTTGAATGACCTCCCAAATGGAGTAGGTAAATGGGATACAAGTGAAACCAAAGAAAATAGGTTGAAAAGTGGGCAGTAAAATTCAAGAAAATTTTCATAAATTATACTTATCACTCTTTTACACATAATTCATATGAAATTGAACTAGAGAAAATAATTTTCCATGTGTCCTTGTTGGGATGCATTTTACCTCTGTAATTTCTTTTTGGTTATATCTGTGGTGAAATTAAGAATAATATTTTTATTCTTAAAAATATAATACTGTCTTTGGGGCCAGCAGGTGGTGTGGTGGTGAAGACATTGGACTCCCACATGGCTGACTGAGGCTCGAGTCCCAGAACCAGTAGCTTCAAACTCACACTGGGCATGTGTGCATGTGTGCCCAAAATCCCAGGAGGAGGATGGAGGAGAAGGGATTGTGGTAGGGCCATTCCCTCTGGGGGGTGGGAAGTAATTTCTCACTTTCTCTGTCTCTCTCTAGCAAGCAAACACACCCTATGGCAAAAACCCAATATATACATATACACACATACATAGAGCTGTCTTCATATAAGATTTTAAGTATCATGCTAGGTATGTAATATGCACAAAATAAATAGCATAGAATCATTCAGTTAATATTTTCATTTTCCAAATTTTGGAGGATAAAAACCTGCAACTGTTACATGGAGAGTGACTGGTAAAGTTGGAATGAGTGGTGCCTAAACTAGTTTTATTGCCACTGCTCACTCCGCTTTTTCAAGTTGAATTGCAAGAGTTTTACATCATCTTTTGTACAACATATAAGATTGAAAGTACTTCTTCCCATGGTAGTACAAACTCGCCCTGGCACTTTTCACTGCACTGCATGTAGAGTAGAAGTTTTTACACATACCTAGTCTTCCCACAATTGAATATACGTGAGAAGACTCATCTCGTAGCTCTTTTGCCAGGGTACAGCACTGAAGGAATGCTTTGGCACACTTGGCACCAATGGTAATCCGTGAAGTCCTCTGCTCACAGCTGTCCTCACTTGGATAGGCTCCATGATGACAGCACTTTCGGATCACCGGATGTTTGAATTTGGATGCTGAGATGACAATACAACTTCTTGTATCAATGTACAGATTCAAGATCTCAGGGCTGGACTTAAGAGGCTCTGATCCATATTCCCCTCTAGTGACCCCTGCCTCACTCTATTTAGTACGAGTAGTAAACCAGGCTCTCTTCGAACAGCTCCCAGAGTGGAAAATTGCTTCTCCCCTAGGCATCCCATTACATTTCAGAGAATTCTAGTTGCTGGAAAATTCTCCCTGACATCTTCTAAACCAAAAATCTAACTCCAATTACTGCTATCCTTGCTAGTTTCCACTAAGTCAATCCTTCTGTGCAGAAAACATCTCAAAATTCAAGTTCCTTGAGTATTTGAACGGTCATCATGACCACCCAAATCTCACCATTTCTCCATGTTATGGACTGAATGTTAATGTCCCCTAACTTATATGATGACATTTAAATCTTCAATGCTATGACATTTAAATCTCCAATGCTATGCTATTAGAAGGTGGGACCTTTGGGAGGTAATTAGTACTGCTATATAAGGGACCCCAGAGAATTCTCTTACCTACCCTCTTTCCTCCATGTGAGAATACAACAAGATGCTGGCACTCTGCTAACTTGAAAAAGGCCCTCATTAGAACCTGACCATGCTGGCACCCTGATCTCAGATTTCTATGATTTCCAGACCATGGAACCATGAGAAATTAATTTTTGTTGTTTATAAATCATCCAGAGCCAGAACTGAATCCAAGTGGTAGTATCATGAGGTAAAAAGGTCATTGGAACATAGAACAAACTATTCCTCTCCTAGTCATTTGGACTTGGCAAGATAGTTGTTTAGAGAAACTCATTTTGGGGGCTGGCAGGTGGCATAGTGGTTGAGGTGCTGGACTCCCACATGGCCAACTGCTGTTTGAGTCCCAGACCAGGTGGCTTGCTTTCTCGTTCACTTTCTCTCTGGTCAAACTGAAGAAAAATAATACTTTTTAAAAAGGAGAATTAAATAAATAATTATTTAAAAAAAAAAAAAAGATTCTAGCCTGCCTCTCTTTCTGTGCACATAGCATACTCACAAACGTTCCTAAAACCCGCCAGGCTTTCTGTAAGAAGTGTGGCAAGCTCCAACCTCATAAAGTGACACAGTACAAAAAGGGCAAAGATTCTCTGTATGCTCAGGAAAAGTAGCGTTATGACAGGAAGCAGAGTGGCTATGGTGGACAGACTAAGCCTATTTTCTGGAAAAAGACAACAACTACGAAGAAGATTGTGCTGAGACTTGAATGTGTTGAGTCCAACTGCAGATCTAAGAAAATGCTGGCTATTAAGAGATGTAAGCATGCTGAACTGGGAGGAGATAGGAAGAGAAAGGGTTGTGTGATCCAGTTCTAAGCCTCATCTTTTTTATTATGAAGACAATGAAATCTTGAGGTGAATGTCCACTTCATTGGATTATAGTAGGTCTTTTTGTGAGGAAATAAAGTAATCAATAAAATGACCCTCTTGGATAAATTTGATTCACGGGTAAAAAAAAAAAAAAAAAAAGAAACTCATTTGCCATGATAAAATGCTGATTATAATTTCCATCCAGCCTAGGGATGAATGTGGCTTTACTATGAAGGAGCTTTAAAAAGAAACAACCAATGTAAGTTACCATTTATTAAGTCCCTCCTGAACTAAAGGCTTTATCACATGATTTCGTTTAATGATCATAATTCAGCAAGGTGAGGGAAATTGTTCCATTCTGCAGGAAAAGAAACCGAGACTTAAAGAGATTTAGTAATGTGGCTGAGGTGACATAGTCATGTTTAGTCATGTCAAAATTCACTCTCAGTCTCTGCTTTTAAAAATTTGTTCTTTATGTGATGCCTTCTAAAGATACTGTTTTGAGAAGTACCTACTGAAATGGGGTTGGGGTTGCGGCAGACTTCAAGAACATTATCATCATCATTATTGAAGCATAGCATTAACTCTTAGTTCAATGTCTACATTAACACTGGTGAATTTTAACCTGAAATTTAAGTGGCATATGAGAATTGGTTCTTTCAGGTGCATCTTCCAAATGATCTGAATAGATCCTAAACAACAATTCACCAGACAAGAGGCGGAGTGTCTAGTAGTACACAGTGGGCAATAGTGTAGTGGCTCTGGTATCAGTCTGACCCAGGTTTGAATTGTGCCTATGCCACTTACTCCCCCATAATGCTGGGCATGTTACTTAATTTTCCTATGCCTCCATGTCCTCAACTGGAAAATTAGGGTAATAAGAATACCTACTTCATGTGAGTGGTATGCCTATTCAGTGAGTAAAATCTAAGTACGGGGTTTCATAATGCCTGGCCCACAGTAGGGACTCAATTAGTTAGCTACTATTTTTATTATAACTCAACAGACCCAGCTTTTGTGATAATTTAGTGATAGCCATATACTTAATGATATGGCTTATACTTCTCTGATAGAGAGTAAAATCTATGAGACAATTAATAACTGATGGCTCTATAACTAGAGAATAGACACAAAAGGGTATCTATTTCCTTTAGGCTAAGACCATGTGAAATGAATGCTGTTTTTACCCATTTTGCTTTACTCTTCTAGAAAGTAAAAACTAGAAGTGATTATGGATGTTTTCACTAACATAAATTGGCTAGACTGAAAAAACATAGCAGATCCTGGCTATTCTATAATAGTTTCCAAAGAGAAAACAAACAAAACTTTCGAATACCTAGCTCTTCTATTTTCTCTTTCAATTGTCTTCTTGATCTGAGAAGTTTCTTAAATGATCCATCTGTTAAAAACAAAACAAAACAAAGAACATTCCTCAGAATGAATGTTTTCATTAAATTATCCAAATATGCAAAACGTTTGCAGAATCATACTGAACACATTTTATCAGAGATCATGTTCTATTTCCCATAACAGTTCTGCTCTATAGCATCAGTAAAGTGAGGAAAATGATTACAGTGACCATATTTCTTGGTAGCAGTGTAATTATTTGCTGTTTACAAATACATTTCCTCATGAAGCTCAAATATACTAATAATTTTAAAAGCAACAAATGCTCATATTTAAAAAAAAAAAACTTTTTTTTTTTCCACCAGAGAGAAAGATGGGAAATGAGAAATCACTCCTCAGGAGGGATGGTCACACCACAATTCCTTCTCCTCCATTCTTCTATTGGGATTTTGGGCACACAAGCACATGTGCCATTAAACATACTCAAGAGACAAGTAGATGGACTCCCACATAGTTGATGGTTCAAGTCCCAGACCCAATGGCTTAAAACTCATGCCAGGCGTGTGTGTGCATGTGTGTCTAATAATCCTGAAAGGAGAATGGAGATAGGATTGTGGCATGGCTATCTACCCTGAGGGGTGATTTCTTGCTTTCTGTCTCTCTGTCTGGTGAGCACATGCACTCTATAGCAAAAATCTCTCTAATAAATACGTAAAAGTTCTTTTTTAAAAAATAAATAAACAGACCATGAAACAATAATAGAAAATAATCAATTAAACTGAGAGTTCGTTTTTTACAAAGATAGCCAAAGTTAACAAGCTGTTACCTAGACTAAGAAATAGAAGACTCGAAGACATAAAATCAGAAATGAGAGGGAAAAAAAACATTAAAACTGATGCTACAGAAACAAAAAGGATCACAAGAGACTTATAAGCAATTACATGCCAACAAACTGGATAATCTAGGGGAAAAAATGGATAAATTCCTAGAAACATACAACCTACTATTAAATTAAATTTGGCCTGAAGCTGTCTCCATACCTTCAGTTCCTACATAAGAACTGCAACCCAATTTAGTATGTAAACATATGAAAGCCAAAGTTTGGAGTATACTTTTATAACAATTAAGCTAAGTCTCAGTCAGTCTGTGCTGTGAACAGAGCAGATCATATCCAAATAAGGCAAATACCAAGCTGTAGCCAATCAAACAGTTTCCGTACCTCACTTTCATTTTCTGTCTTAAATACTCCTTGCAGCTGAGCTCTCCGAACCCTTCCTAGTACTGAGAGCAGACCAGTTTGAGGGATACCCAATTCATAATTATGTTTTATTCAAATAAATTCTTTTAAATTTAATTTGTTGAAGTTTTTTCTTTTTTCACACTACCAAGATTAAATCATGAAGAAATAGAATTCTGGACTGAACTAAAACTGGTATAGTAATTGCAGTAGTAATAATGGGGACCAGCAGGTGGTGTGGTGGTTAAGGGCACTGGACTCCCACATGGCTGACAACGGTTCGAGCCCTAGACCTGTGGCTTGCCTTTTTACTTTCTCTCTCTCTTGCTCTGTTCCTCTCTGGTTAAATTAAAAAACTTCTCCAAAAAAGAAAAATAAATAAATAGATAGATAGATAAAGCTAGATAAAATAATAATTTTTAAAAATTTTAAAAAGATAAAGACTTCATTTTTAAAAGTTAGAACTAATAAATGAATTTGGTAAATAACATATAAAATTAATTGTGCTTCTATGCACTAAACAACAAACTAAAAAAGATTTTAAAGGAGAGTCCCATTTACAAAAAGAATAAAATCCTTAGGAATAAACAACTAAGAAGGTAAAAGACTTGAAGTTGAAAACTACAAAACATTGATGAAAGAAATTAAAGAAGATGAAAATGAAAAGACATCCCATGTTCATGTACTAGAAGACCTAATAAATATTGTTAAAAGTCCATATTACTCAAAGAAATCTTCAGGTTCAATGCAATCTTCAGGTTCAATTCAATTCTATCAAAATCCAAATGGCATTATTTTATCAAGAGTGGAAAAAACAATTTTATATTCATGTAGAACCACAAAAGACCACAAATAGCAAATCAGTCTTAAAATAAAATAAAAAGCTACAGGCATCACACTACTTGATTTTAAAATATGCCACAAAGATACAGTAATCAAAACAGCAATAAAGACAGATGCATAGACCAATAGAACAGAACAGAAAACCCAGAAATAAATCCATACATGTAAAGTCCACTGATCTTTGACAAAGATGCCAACAATATACAATAGGGGAAAATCATCTTTCAACAAATAGTGTTGGGAAAATGAAAACTCCACATGCAAAAGAATAAAATTAAACACTTATCTTATACCATATACAAAAAGCAATTAAAAGTGGACTAAAGACTCATAAGACCTGAAACTGTAAATCTCCCACATGGCTGACCGTGGTTGGAGTCCTGGACCTGGCGGCTTGCTTTCTCACTATCTCTCTCTCTTACTCTGCCCCTCTCTGTCAAATTAAAATAAATAAATAAATAAAGTTGAATAAAATAATTCTTTTAAAAAGGTATCATAAGGGATTTTTAAAAACTGCAAACCATATATTTGATAAGGGTTTAATCACCAAATATTAGGTTGTCAGGAAAGTCATGATGTATTTTGCTATCCTTTTCTATGCAAAAATGTGTCATGACTTTCCCAATAAGCCAATATAAAAGGAACTCTTATAATTTAGCCCAAAAAACCTAATAACCCAATTAAAAAACAGGCTAAAGACTTGAATAGAATAGATATTATTCTTTAGAAGATATATAAAGTGCCAACAGCTATATGAAAAATTACCCAGTATCACAAACCACCTGGAAAATGCAAATCAAAACCAGAGTAAGATATTGCCTCTCACCTATCAGGGTGGCTATTTTTAAAAAATACAAGTATTGGTGAATATATGAAAATATTCAAATCTATGGACACTGTTGATGGGAATACTACTTTACTATTTTAGTGCAGCTGCTATAAAAAAATATGGAAGATCCTCAAAAAATTAAAAACAGAACTACCATTAATCCAGCAATCTTATTTCTGAATATTTATCTGAAAGAACTAAAATCAACATCTTGAAGAAATATTAGCACTCCCATGTTCACTGCAGTGCTACTAACAATAGCTGAGATGTGAAAATGATCTAATGTGCATTAACTGATGAATGGACAAAGAAAGTGTGGTATATGCATACATAGGATACCATCCAGTCTTATAAAAGAAAAAAAAATCTGCAATATACAATAACATGGTTGAACCTGTAGGATATTATGTGAAGTAAAATAATTTACTCATAGACAAATAGTGCATGATACCACTTCTACAAGAGATCTGAAGTAGCCAGATTCATAGATTCTAAGAGTGGAGTGGTGGCTTGAGAAAGGGGAAAATTGGGAGTTACTGATCAATAGGCATAAAGTTTCAGTTAAGCAAGATGCATAAGCTCTCATGTTAAATGTTCTTACCACAGCAAAATAATTTTTAACAAAAGTTTTGAGAAAATTGTGCTATGGAGGCAGTGAGGATTTGAAGGAAGAATGAGTGTGGGGCTAAAAAAGGCAGCATATATATATTTTTTAATTTGCTAGAGGATGTATGTGCTCTCCAGAGAAAGATAAAGACTGAGAGAAAAAGTGAGAAAGCATTCCCCAAGGAGGATGGCCACGCTGCAATTGCTTTTCCTCCATTCTCCTTTTGGGATTTTGGGCATGCACATACATGCACCTGGTGTGTTTCTCAAGCTGCTGGATCAGGGACTCAAACCATGCAGTCAGTCACATGGGATCCAACTCTCTTAACCATTATGCCACTGAGTGGTTCCAAAGGTAGCATGTTTACATAATAAGAGTATTCCAATTATTTTGTTGAAAACAGAATTAATTACCATTGTGTTGGGAGTCATCTGCAATTGCATTGGTGAGGACAGTGAGACCTGCCAAGTAGAACACTTCAGCATTGTTCCTGCCACCACTTGCTCCACAGTCCTGGTCACTTTTATCTAAAGCTTGAAGTACCTGTTCAGAATGGAAATCATTCCCCTTAAAAACACAACATTCAGTGGTTTTTATAGGCAATACCTGATTTAGAGGTAATGTTAACCACAAGTCACTCACTTATTGAATGGTTAAAATCTAATTCTCCAAAGTTCCCAAACCTTTCTTCCTTTCTCTAGTTTTCACCTTATAGATTTAGAAATATACACTTATCAAAATTCACTCAAGAACTAAGCCTTAGGATATAGCTCTGATTTGGAAATTTTTAGAAAATTATTTATATTCTCCGTTCTTGGGTAAGAATACTCACTAAATATTTTTTGATGAGGAGGGTTGACTTCTCATCAAGTTTGTGACCATGGACCACGTGACTCATAAAAGTGATTATCTATGATTGGGCATAGGAGAGTGGGATGTGGCTTGGGAAAAGGCAGGAAGAGGGGAAATAGCTACTTAGGACTACTGTTGCCTTTTAATGTTAGTCATCTAGTCTCCCACACCATGCCTGTTTCTGTTGCCCTCTCCAGCCCTTCTCCAATGAATTCAACATATTCCACTCTCCAGAAACTCGGAATTTTCAGTCATATCCTATATAGTGGAGAACTAATATAATTTTATGCTTTAGCTTAAATGGTGCCCTCTGAGTCAATAAGTTTATCATTTATTCCATCTAATAGCTTAAAAAACAAAATGATGCTATAGATCACTGGAAGAAAGACAGTTTAGAATTGGTAGTGTTTGGGGCCAGCAGATGGCGTAATGGCCACGTCGCTGGAATTCCACCTAGCCGACTGCAATTTGAGTTCCAGTTTAGGCAAGATCCCAAGATCCCAAGAAGAGAGTGGAAGAAAGGGATTGAGGCATGGCCATTTCCACTGGGGAGTGATTTCTTGCTTTCTGTCTGTCTCTGGTGAGTGCATGTGCCCTATAGCAAAAATATCTCAAAAAAAAAAAAAAAAAAAAAAAGAACTGATAGTGTGTGAAGTCTTTATTCTGAACAGATTACATTTTCATTTACTCCTAGACAAAGCCGCATCTTAGCATGTCATTGAGTATATCCCCAAATAAAGTATACTTATACAACACAAAATGAAATGGATAATAAATTAAGTGAATAACTAACCTTTGTATATCTAAAAGGATATGTTAAAGGGGTAACATGTTTGATTTTTTCTGTGCTGTTCCACTCATATGATAAGTCACCTGATATCTCTGTTTTCCTTACAGTAACATGGGAACTATACTAGCAAGTTTTCAATATGTTTTAAATATTATCTTTAATAACATTTATATGAATATTATAAGAGATAATAAATTTTAATGCATTAATACTTAATATTAATTACTAATACACAATAAATAAAATATTACTAAACATTGGCATGCTGATATTATTAATAATATAAACAATATTAATATCTTATCTTATTGATAGGATTTTTATAAATATCCAATAAGACAGTAGATGTAAAGGCTTTAAAATAAAGCTAGCAGATAATGTTTTTGTTTGTTTTTTGAGAGGTTTTTGTCTTGATAGTGTTTTTTAAATGTTAGCTGTTGGTATTATTATGCTTAAATCTAGCAGAGAGGACAGACATTGTTGTAGTTTCACCTTTTTCCTTTGTTCTTCTCTCACGACCAATCGATGGAACCCTGAGAGAGCCATGGTGACCACTGGGCCCCGAGTCATGTCATCCATCAGTAACCATAACATTTACCCTACTTAACTCTTTCCATGGGATTTTCACTTCTTCCTTGGATGCCACTGTCCACTGCTGATAAAGCTACCTGTGATTCTGAATGAGTTTCCACCACCAGAGAGATAGCTTCACCTGGAGAGTATATATCTTTATTTGGAGACAGATGGATCTAAAATTAGTTGAAAAAGAAAGTATCTTAGTGTGAGGTTAATTATCATTTAGGAAGAATTTAGACTGAAGAGAGCAATTGTCTCTCACCTGGAGCTGGTTGCCACACTTTTCTTCAATATTGAGACAGATTGAGTCAGACACTATTTCTGCTGCCTTCCCTTCTTTGACAATGTAATAGACCAGGAGATGGGCTATAGGAGCCATGTGTTGAGTCACGGAAAGGTTTAAATATTGGTAAGATGAACCTGGGAGCCTCTTCTCTGTGCCAAAGTATACAATTTTGCCCTTAGATGAAATCTAAAATATATACAGCAACAAATAAGGATCTGAATGGACTTAAAGTTGCATTAGTAACTGGGGAGATAATAAAGAGGGAAAGAATTAATGCCCATTGATCATCTACTGTGTATCAGGCATGTATACATGAACATACTCAGTCCTCACAATTGTGTGTTATGGTTTTAATACCATTTAGTAGTTACAGAAACTGAAGTTGATAGATGTAGACTGGCCCAAATAAGTAAAAGAGTGTGAATTTGAATTTTGATCTTGCTGACTCAAAGCCCATGCCTTCCCCAATATATCATCTGCCATTCTTCCTACTTTTTACTTTAACAGCAATGAACACTGACTGGAATCACCACAATTATTCTTGAAAGGATTTGAAGTTTTCTCTTTGTAAATAAGACATATTTTTAAGTAACATTCTGTTGCTTGCTAATACTCTGACTACCTTAAAACAGTGCTGAGGTGGGACCAGCAGTTAGTGTAATGGCTATGTTGCTGGTCTCCCATGTGGTCGACTGTGGACCTGGTGGCTTAAACTCACTCTGGGCGCGTGTGCGTGTGTGCCCAAGAGAGGAGAATGGAAGAGAAGGGATTGCAACGTGGCCATCCCCCCGGGGAGTGATTTCTCACTTTTTGTTTCTCTCTCTGTCTTTCTGGTGAGCGCACGCGCCCTATAAAAACCTCTCTAAAACAAAACAAACAAACAAACAAAAAGCAGTGCTGAGGTAGGGTCAGTTGGTAGCATGGTGGTTAGGGCACCAGACTCACACATTTTAGACCACTATTTGAGTCCAAGCCCTGGTGGCTTGCTTTATCGTTTTCCCTCTCTATTTCTGTCTCTATCTCTGGCATGCATGTGTGTCCTATAGCAAACAAAAAAAATAATAATAAATTAAATTAAATAAATAATTCTTTAAAAAAATTAAAACGGTGCTGAGGTCACTGACTGGTCTGGGGGGACTGAATGGACACTGGTCAAACCCTTGATTTCACGCTATAGACAGAATATCAATCACGGAGTCAGAAGACCTTGAACAAAATCCTAAACCACTACGTGTGAACACAGCAGGTCATCAACCTTTTTAATCTGTTTCATTGTCTGCTGAGCTCAAAAAAGTGTCATGAGGCTCTGTTGTGAGAATATTTGTGAATGTGTTTTGCAAGCTATAAAGTTCAATGTAACTTCATCCATTCATCTGCTAAATATCAATTGTGTCAAGTAAGAAGTCATTTTAAAGATTAATAGTATAAGAAAATTTTGAAATAGGGAACCAGATGCAAGAAAGACATTATGGAACTTACCAAGTAACTGTAGTGTGTAATTTTGTCAACATATGGACTTTTAGGGGTAACAATTATGTTCAGATGTTCTCCCACAACCAAACTCCTATAACCATCTGTCCAGCTAAGGGACAGGAAACTTTGACTGTGTGATGAATAGGCCACTGCTTGATAGTCACTGCTAGCCTGATATTCTTCAGGAAGGTCTGGGTCATCAGTTCTAACCTAAAAAAGATAGTATCAAGAGATGTAAAATGTTGACGCTTAACTTTGCATCAATGACGATGATGATGTTGGTAACTGCTAAAACTTGTCTAGCATTCACTAAGTAACAGGTCTTGTTCTCAGGGTTCGGCATGTCTGAATGTATCCATGTACCTTAGAAATCTTCAAACTTGATAAAAGCTTATAAAGAGGTAAATTAGCATGTCATTGCCCATCATCATGTTAAGCTATAATATTGAGTGACTAGAGAAATGCTATTGGTTTAAAAATAATAAAATTAACTACAAAAATCTAAGATGTTATAGAAGAGCCCAGTGAACAAAGAAAAGATCCTAGATCTAAGGTTGAACTTCTTTCTCAAATGACATGCCAATGTATTGACTCATTTCCTTCTGCCATAAGTTGGCAAGAACCAATATCTGGTGAGAGTGAAAATGTGAGGAAAGAGAAAAAAAAAGTGGTAATAATATTTTTTTCTTTTACAAAGTAGCAAGTAGGTAGTACTTTATAAAACTGACAATAAATTGCATATATTTATGAGGTATAACGTGATGTTTTAATATATCTATACATAGTGGAACAACTAAATCAAGCTAAATTGACATATCTATTACCCCACACACTTTGTGTGTGTGTGTGTGTGTGTGTGTGTGTGTGTGTGTATGTGTGTGTATAACTATCCATAGAGTTTTTGATGGGATTGGGGGGGAATGAAGGATGGTATCTCCTACTTTTTTATCTTGCTGACATCATGCCTAGTAATAATTCTTTTTTTCTTGAAAGTTTCTTTTATTTATTGAGAGAGAAAGACAGGTACACTTGACAAGTGTGTGTATTATATAGGTGAACCATTCTCACATGCTATAATCCTCTCCCATAGTCTGCCATTATCACAGGCACACTCATCATGCTTACATCAACGCTGGATGAACCTGGGCCTCTCCTGTGTGCCCAGAATCATACAGTAGTACCTACCTCCTGCACCACCACAACAGGACCCTGGGAGTAACTCTTTAAAAGTTGATAGAGATGATGTATAAAAGAACTGGTGGTGAATAATTTCACTCTTTAGGAAAGGAACAAGGAGAAGAGTTGAATGGTGTAAACAAAAGCTATTTTTGAGGATAAAGTGCAAGGTCATAGGGAAATCTTACATCCATGCCATGCTGTACCAGCTCTTGAACAAGAGGCTGGAACCACTTATGTTATGCTTGAAGCTAAAGAATTAGATATTATTTTCTAGTGAAGATAATTTGATAACAAATAAAGACAAATAAAAAATGGCTCATGGTGTTAGAGAAAAGGGAGAGAATGGCATTTTGCACTTGCTTAGGTTTGAAGAGAGAGGTATCATGGTTTTACCCAACCAACATTTACTGGTCCCAAATGTGTATCAGGAACTATGCTAGTTGCTGGGGACACAGAGATGAACAAGGGGACCAAGTGGTGGCTCAGTAGTAACACAACTGGACCCATACGGGAAAGGCCCTAGATTTATGTCCTGGGACCTCCATAGGCAATCTGAGAATACTTGCATGTTTGTGATTCTGACTGGCTGAGACTGGGAGTGGATCACAGTACAAGGATCCTGTTGAGGATGACAGTCTCTGTCCGTCTATCTCTCTCCTAAAATAAATACATAAACATAAATTTTTTTAAAAAGGTCAACAAGATAAAGTATAGCCTTGCCCTCAGGAAACTTGAAGTCTGTGAGGGAACATCTACTCCACTAGCAGAGAATACAGAGAAGGCCCCTCAGAAGATGTTAATTAGAGGCCAACCATAACTTGGAGTAAGGGAATCAAAGACTTTGGAGAGAGTATCCCACATAGGCTAGAAAGGCCTTGTGGTGGTGGAGAGCAGGATGTTAGCAAACAACAAACTGTCCAGTATGCTGGAGTTTAGGGCACAATGGGAAGAGTGATGAGCAATGAGTTTGGAGAGCAATAGAGATCAGATTTGTGTCTCAGAAAGATTACTCCATTCCCCTTGCACAATGAACAGAGTAACTGAGTGAAGAGTGAGAAATCTGGTGTCTGTAAGGCCATCCCCAGAAATAAAGCTCCTGGGGAGGTCTAGGTTTCAAGTTGAAAAGCAGTCCTTCGTTTTGGATATGTATGCTTGTTCTTTGAAACATTCAAGAAAAACATAAGGAGAGCACAGAGTATCTGGGATACTTGAATATCAAGTCTTTAGCATAAGCTATGGAACACAGGGGATCATCAAGGAAATGTGCCAATAAAAATGAGAAGAGAGGAGAACCTGAATAGAAACCCTGAGGGACACCCCATTTCGAGGGCAGGCTAGGGCTAATGGTCCAAAATAGAGGCTATATAAAGAAGAGAAAAAAGTAGGGCTGATCAGTGGCATGGTGGTTACAGCATCTGGATCCCACATGGCCAACTGTGCAATTCAAGTTCTGGACCCAGCAGCTTAAAAAAACAAGCTGGGGGGACCAGCAGTTAGAGTAATGGCTATGTCACTGGACTCCCATGTAGTCGACCATGGTTTGAATCCCGGACCCGGTGGCTTAAACTCACGCCGGGCGTGTGTGCGTGCGTGCCCAAGATCCCGAGAGGAGAATGGAGGAGAAGGGATTGTGGTGTGGCCATCGACCCTGGGGGGTGATTTCTTGCTTTCTGTCTCTCTGTCTCTCTCTCTGTCTGTCTGGTGAGTGCACATGCCCTATAGCAAAAACCTCTCCAAAAAAAAAACATGCGGGGCGTATGTGTGTGCATGCCTAAAATCCAGAAAGAAGAGTGAAAGAGAAGGGACTGCAGTGTGGCCATTCATCCTTCTCCCTTTCTCCCTTTCTCTCTCTTTTCAGCAAGAGTATGTGCCCTATATCATTTTTTAGAAAAAAGAAGAGAACGGAAAAGAAAAATTAAAAGCAAGGTGGGACCAGCAGATGGCTGCTAATGGTTTTGACATAATGGTTACGTTGTTGAATTCCCACGTAGTCCACCGCTGTTTGAGTTCTGGACCCAGTGGCTTAAAACTCACACCAGACATGGATGCGTGGAAGCCTAAAATCTCGAGAGGAGTATGGAGAAGGGATTATGGCATGGCCATCCCCCTGGGGGTGATTTCTTGCTTTCTGTCTCTGTGTGTCACTTTCTGTCTCTCTGGTGAGTACATGTACCCTATAGCAAAAATCTCTGAAAAAAAAATTAAAAGCAAGGAAATGTGAAGTGATAGAGGCCACAACAGATTGTTTAAAGAAAAAGGCTATGGTCGACCACCAAATGTCTTAGAGAAAGCAAGAAAGATACAAACTGAGAATGTGGAGGGGAAAAGAGAATGTAGGTAATTCTTCAGAAGAGTTCACATGTGAAGAGGAAGGAGATATGTTGATAGTTGGAAATAAGGGGCAAGAGAAGACTTAGTATGTACTCTTATATTCACTGGCAGTTCTAGTTCTAAATTTGTCCAGATTTGGATTTTGTGTTTCACACAAGCAGAAAAATTATTTCCTAAAAACAAAGTTGACAGACTCATACCCTTCATGGAACATTTAGTACACCACATTATATTTCCTGTGCCTATAGATCACTAACTAAATTTATACATAAAATCTTTCACATCTGTCCTCTATGTGGGCTACCACACAGACTTGAGGCAAACTAGAAAATACAAGAAATGAAGGGCTGATCACAAGCAGAAAAATTATTTCCTAAAAACAAAGTTGACAGACTCATACCCTTCATGGAACATTTAGTACACCACATTATATTTCCTGTGCCTATAGATCACTAACTAAATTTATACATAAAATCTTTCACATCTGTCCTCTATGTGGGCTACCACACAGACTTGAGGCAAACTAGAAAATACAAGAAATGAAGGGCTGGTAGATGGTGTGGTAGTTAAAGGCGCTGGATTCCCACATGGCCGACTGTGGTTCAAGCCCCGGACCTGGTGACTTTCTCTCTCTCTCTTTCTCTCTCTCTGTCACTCTGTCCCTCTCTGGTCAAATTGAAATAAACAACTACATAAAGTTCAATAAAGTAACTCTTAAAAAAAAAAAAAGAAAGAAATGGGAGATGCAGTTGGTGTAATGGCTATATCACTGGACTCCCATGTAGTCGACCATGGTTCAAATCCCAGTCCCGGTGACTTAAACTCAAGGCTGGGCACATGTGCATGCGTGCCCAAGATCCCGAGACGACAATGGAGGAGAAGGGATTGCAGTGTGGCCATCCTCCCTGGGGGAGTGACGCTTTGCTTTCTATCTCTCTGTCTCTCTCTCCCTTTCTGGTGAGCACGCATGCCCTATAGCAAAAACCTCTCAAAAGAGAAAAAAAAAAAAAAAAAAGAAATGAGAATTCTGCTCACATGAAACTCCAATGCTGTCACACCAGTGGGAATGTCAATCACAAATGAAACAATTCCATCATGATAATTTGTTGTACTTTTCCTTAGTTCCAGATCTGTCTTCTTCTGAGTATTATCAATTGTTTTTGCTTTCAAGGTTACTGCAATCCCACCTACAAAATGGCCAACTGGATCCTTCACCTGCACCTGTTGAACCAAATACATTTCAATAGTTAACATCCTTTTACAACAAGAAAATCCTAAAATAAGTTCCTCCTTTGTCTCAAGCACGTTAGTAGGCTCTAGTTCAGTAGTCAAATGTATTTGTAAGATTGTGTTTTCATCACTCTAGGCGTATTTGATATGAATTACATTTAATTCAATTCACTGTATGGTACCTGAATGTTTAATAGGAGCAAGGTACTGTGCAAAGTACTTATCCATAAGCCACAGGTTGGTTGAAATTGTTACCGGGTCTGATCCGGGCCCTTGTTTTCTGTCAGTCTTAGTGAAACCCTTGTCATATTCTTTTTTTTTTTTGAGAGAGAGATATTTTCTATAGGGCATGTGTACTAGCAAGAGAGACTAGCAAGAGAGACAGAGAGAGAAAAAATGAAAAATCATTCCCCGGGGGGGATGACCATGCCACAGTTTCTTCTCCTCCATTCTCCTCTTGGGATTTTAGGCACACATGCACCTGCTTTGAGTTTCAAACTATAGGGTCCAGGACTCAAATTGCTGTCAGTCATATGGGAGTCCAGTGCCTTAACCACAACATTGCCTGCTGTCCCCTTGCCATATTCTTCACCACCCTGTTACCTCCAGTGTCTTCCCCATTTAAGTGTCTACACTGGCAGTCAGTAGAATCAAGATCTTTCTGAGATCATTTTTACCCTGTACTTACACAGACTAAGTAATCTACCAGTAAATTGAAAAATGCAACTATAATAGATTTTCTAATCATCTGACCTTGATGGAATATGGAATTCCAGGCTTCAGGAAAACAGGAGTAGCAATCAAATGCAGTGTATAGGGAGAGAGGACATATTTGACATCAGTCACATTGGTTACACTGAAGAATTCACCTAATGGAATAATAGGCACTGCTTTGAGAATTTGGCGAGTAAAAGGTAGCACAATGATCTATGGTGGGTACCCACTCTGTTCCTATGTATTTCTCTATTTGGGTAGTTAACATGCCATTAATCCATATTTGGTCATTTCAAATGCAATTATTAACCTAAGTCTGAATGAATGTTGTGGCTACTCATTAAATTCGGTTTGTAGGCTGGTAACATGCCTGTTTATCTGCTTCAGCTCTAGTGTCCTGTTCCAAATCATTTGCCAGATAATTTATCCAGTTTTTTTTTCTTCAAATAACAAGAGCAGTTCCTCATGTCCTTAAGAAATTCACAATTCTCTTATAAAAAACACTCACATGAAAAACAGCTGGTTCTCATTTCCAAGGCAACATTCAAATACTAGATAATGTGATAAAAGATTTGCATTAAATGTTTAATAATATGTAAGCAAACATCCAAATGCTCAAGGCTGCTTTTATCTCATTTCATTTCATTTTAATTTGCCAGAGGGCATGTGTGCTTGCCAGAGAGAGACAGAGAGAGGGATAGGGAAAGTAAGAAAGCAACCCCCGAAAAAATGGTCCCTTCTCCTCCATTTTCCTCTTGCAATTTTGGATATGCAGTTTTGGACATGCATGTACATGTACCTGGAGTGTTTTCCAAATCACTGGATCTGGGACTCAAACCACACAGTTGACTATGCGGGATCCAGACACTTTAATCACCATGCCACTAGCTAACCCAGCTCAGGAATGTGTTTATAATGTGGATAAAATTTTATCATCTGGGACCAGCAGTTATCGTAATGGCTATGTCACTGGACTCCCATGTAGTCGACCGCGGTTTGCATCCCGGACCCGATGGCTTAAAACTCATGCCAGGTGCACGTGCATGTGTGCCCAAGATCCCGAGAGGAGAATGGAGGAGAGGGGAATGCGGTGTGGCCAGCCCCCCTGGGAGTGATTTCTCGCTTTCTGTCTCTCTGTCTCTCTCTCTCTGGTGAGTGCACATGCCCTATAGCAAAAACTGCTCCCCCCCCCAACTGGTGAACGCACATGCCCTATAGCAAAAACTGCTCTCCTCCCCCCAAAATAAATAAATGTTATCATCTCATTTATATGTCATAAGTAAAATTTTCTGGTACCAGTATTACCTGTTCTTTTTAATAACATAAAAGTGTGTTCCATGTATGTGTGTGTAGGGATCATTCTTACACACAGAGGTCTTCATGAGCATTTCCCCTGAACAGATGTGGTAGGCAGTACTTTAGTGGACTATACTAGCAACTGTTGTCTAACATTTCACCAGCAATAAGCTACAGTCTTCAATCTAAACTTTGGAATAAGAAAGAATTATGAGAAGCAAATTTACAGATCAATTTATGAACTCACCTGTGCTCTCTTGTACTGTCACAAAAATATTTAGGTACTTGTTATTTAAATCTTCTAGACTTTTATATGAAAGGTTTTTAATTGCCTTTGAAGTATTAAAATTTATTTGTGTAACTCCATCGATCAGCTGTTTTTAAAAAGAGGAACAAAAAAGTAGAAGCTATATTAAAGAACTCTTAGACAAGGGTAATAAATTCTGCTTTCATCGGAATGCAAAATCATCCCTTGGCAATGATGTTGTGATTACAACTAATGGTAGCATAAAGCATAAGTTTGATTCTATGAGGTGTATTTATTTTTAAAAGAATTATTTATTTAATTTTATTTATTCATTCATTTATTTTAATTTGACCAGAGAAAGACACACGTACAGAGATAGAGAGAGAGGGAAAATGAAAAAGCAAGCCACCAGGTCCAGGTCCCGAACTATGGTCAGCCATGTGAGAGCGTCCAGCACCTTAACCACCATGTCACCTGCTGGTCCCATATGAGGCATACTTATAACTGATTAACATTTAAGGTGTTTCTTTTGAGTGAGGTGCTGCAGGCCATATTACAAGATGATGGAGAAAAAAATGTTAGTTAAAAATTTCTGATTCAAAATTATGTCTCATCCTGTTCAGAATCTGATGCTGTAATTGGGTACCACTGTCTATCTGATAAAACTTTATCTGAAGTCAAGGATATTGTATCTATAAAGAGTTAAAACTGCAGGGCCAGCAGGTGGCATGGTGGTTAAGGCGCTGGACTCCCATATGGCCAACCACAGTTTGAGTCTCGGACCTGATGACTTGCTTTCTCCCTTTCTCTCTCTCTCTCTTCCCTTTCTCTCTATCTCTTCTCTTCTCTCTCTCTCTCTCTCGCACACATGCCCTATAGAAAATTTAAAAATAATAATAATGATAAATAAAATTAAATAATTCTTTAAAAAAAAAGTTAAAACTAAATCGGGAACTAGGTTTTGCAAACTTAAGCTTTCAAACTGAAGACAAATGTCACTGTAATTTATCTGCTTCTATCACTGGAACTCCCCAGAGCCTCAAACAGTTTTCTTTTGGAGTTTTTTAGTTAAATGAAGACTTGCAGATGAAAGCCCATCTATAACCTGTATACCCTGGTGAATTGCCCCAATTCTCTATTATTGTGAACATAGTTTGATTTCTCATTACCTGCACCGTTTGTGTTGCTCCATGCATTATTTCTTTTCTACTATCATCAAAATCTGTTTTTATTCCAAAAATGACAGAAACTTCAGCCTTAGTTACATTCTTATAAGAATATCTGTCAAAAGAGAACATAATTAACTCCCCCTCTTTTTAGAAGTTTATTTCTTCTTCTATAAGTGTGAGTGAAAGAGAGAGAAACAGAGAGAGGAGAGTAGGAAAGAGAGAGAGCACCACTATTTTTTAAATAACTATTTATTTTATTTTTTATTTATTCATTCATTGATTTTTTTAATTTGACCAGAGAGAGACAGAGGGTGAGAGTGAGAGAGAGAGGAAGTGAGAAAGAAAGCCACCAGGTCCAGGACTCGAACCCCGGTCGCCCATGTGGGAGTGTCCAGCGCCTTAACCACTATGCCACCTGCTGGTCCCAAGAGAGCACCACTATTAACAGAGTCCCTGTGCCATGGTCCATCTTTAGCCCCAGTTGGCCCTGGCTCATGGATACTGCCATGCTTGGCATATTCAAGGAGGTCTCTAGACACAAACCCAGAACCTTCCCATGTGTCACTTTTGTAGAGTGTTGCATTACTATCACACTACCATCTGGTCCCCAGTTCCTTTTACCTGTAAACCAATAGTAGTAATGAAATGCAGATAAAATATTACCATGTAGAACTTGGCTTTTACTCTTGAAATGGTGCTCACATCCAGTTTTGCATTTCATCTTTATACCCTGTAGTGGCAGAGCTAAGGCAGGTATTTTTACTACTATCAACAACTAAGAAAATGGAGTCCCAGAGAAATAAGAACTTGCCCACTTCCTACAGTTTTTATGTTCACAGAGAGTTTGTGGAGACTTGAGCTTAGGCCCTAGGTCACTTTGTAAGGGACCATACTTCTATCATGACTGTAGCATGACATGGCAACGACAGGGACTCATTCTTTGCTGCTTCTTTCATCAAAATTGGTAATATCATATCCATCTCATATGAACTGGAGGGACGTTGTTTTCAGTTTAGCCCCATACTTTGCCCTAGTCAAAGTAAAACACAAACTCTCCCTATTTAAATGTAAATCAGGCCTGTGGGATCCTATTAGAAGACAGTTTTCCACGGCTCATTTGTCAAGTGTGATTTGTGGACCAGTTAAATGAATTTTATAAGTACTTTTGGAAATTAAGTTGTAAGATCAACTAACATGAACTAGGTCACAAAAAGGAAAGATATGAACACTTTCATGTCTTTTTTTTTTTTGGAGGGGAGAGATTTTTGCTGTAGGGCACATGTGATTGCCAGAGAGAGTGAGAAATCGCCCCCTAGGGGTGATAGCCACACCTCAATCCCTTCTCCTCCATTCTCCTATCAGGATTTTGGACATGCACCTAGCATGACCAGGTCCAGGATTTGAACTGCGGTCCACTACGTAGGAGTCCAGCAACAGTACCATTATGCCATCTACTGGTCCATCATGTCATATCTTTAATATCTAAATAGGGTAGTCACCTGAATAGCAACCATGATATTCTATCTTTAGGATTCATTGCTTAGGAAATTGTAAAAACAAGAAGATTCTATTTTTTTTGAGAGGCTTTTTTTAAGGGTGCATGTGCTCGCCTGAGAGAGAGACAGAAACAGTGAAAGGGAAAGTAAGAAATCAGTCTCAAGGGGGGATGGCCACATAGCAATCCCTTCACCTTCATTCTCCTCCCGGTATCTTGGGCATACACACACATGTGCCTGGTATGATTTTTAAGCCACTGGTTCTAGAACAAACTAGAACTGCAGTCACCCATGTGGAAGTCCAATGATGTAACTGCGATGCCGCCCGCTAGCCCCGCAACAAGATCTGAATTAGAAAATACACTTCAGGCAAATCTCCTTGAACCCACTTCCCACACTATGACAAAGAATACTAATAATATTTTTTATATTCTCAAAATCTTTCTTAGCATTGGGCCTCAGACAAATACTTCCATTTGATCATATCTGATTATTATCATGGAACTTATTTCATTCAGAAACTAGATGAATCTGAAAATAAAAACTTTCTTACCTAGCTTTTATAGTTATCTTGAGGTCCTCAAAGTTTTTATGGCTAATGAAATTACTTTCTGGTTCTACTAAGATAAAAAAGTAAGGTTTCTCCAAAAATAAACCTAAGCCAATGACAACAAAAAAATACAGTTAGAACTACATATTTCAAACAAGAAACTTTCTGGTACAAAAGATAAATGAACATTGGTATGTTTCCCATTGTCATGATTATCATCAGTATATCTGGAAAGCCTCATGCCCTCCCAATCATGAATCAGTCTCATCTTTTTGTTCCAGCAGCCCTGTGCTGTATATTTTTGTAAATTTAATGATTTCTTATATTTGTTCCATCATTGTACATCTCTATACCACACAATATGGTTTTTCAAAGTATGTGTGTAATACACAACAATTTAATCAGGGATGTTATCATTTACATCTTTTTTTTTTTTCCACAACAAGGAAAATGTGATTTAATTCTACAAATTTACAAACCAAAAATATAAAAACAAAACATGGAAAACCAAGTAAGATGAGGAGTTCCAAGATGTGGGCCCCTCGATCCATAGTAGCTCTAGCCCAGCAACCTGGTCTATGGCGGGGCAGGACCTGGGTCATGTACATCATTTTTAACAGAGATTTTTACATTTTTATATCTGTTAAGCATGTATACCCTGAGTCTCTTCCACCCATCTTCTACTATCCTCCCTCCTCCTCTACTATTTCTGGTATCTGTACTAGTCCTTCCCGCTATTATATCTTCAGATCGTTCCATTTTCCTCCTTTTCTCCATCTTGTTATGATTTGGAGTACACATCCACATATGTCCAGTGTGTTTTTCAAGCCAGTGGGCTGGGATTTGAACCATGGTTGGCTATGTGGGTTACAGCTCCCTTCACCACTAGGTTGTGGGGCTGACCTTTTTTTTTTTTTTTTTTTTTTTTTTTGAGTGTGTGTGTGGTTTTATAACTTTATTTGAAAATCAGCAGTTAGTTCTCATGCACACTGTAGATTTTTTAAAATGGTAACAGGTACATAGGTCACCAGTGTAGAGCTTGTTGGGTCCCTCTTTATTCTTTACTGAGTCTTAATTCTACAAAATTATTGATGACAACTTTTTAAAAGATACATTAGAAATCTCATTTATAAGAAATTACCATAATTTGTTAAAAGATACATTGGAAATCTTATTTATAAGAAATTACCATAATTTTTAATCTCAAAATATGTAGTCCCTGTTGTTGTAAAGTCCTCTTTGTATTTAGCTTTAATTGTCCATAAACCGTATCTGTGAAAGCAAGATATTTAAAATTTTAGGTATCATCAAATAATGTATCTTTAATCCACCCAAGGATTAGAGCTAATATTCAAAGGAACACTTCAGTATAGGCCAAGTCCTTTCCCAAATGTTTTTACATGTGTTAACTCAGTCTTCACAAACATACATGTAATAGGTTATACTATTACCCCTATTTTATCATCAGAAAACTGAGGCCCAGTGAGGTGAAATAACTTTCCCAGGGACACAAAGCTAATAGAGCTGGGACACAGTTCGGTCATTTCAGCTCTTAAGCCCTTGACCATAGCTCCATGCTTTGATGACCCTGACAGTAGCTTTAGATTTATGCATAAAATTAATTAGTATGCCATATTTGAAATATGTTTTAAAATTATAAACAAAAATAGGCATTAAAAAAATACACTAATTGAGACTAGCAGGTGGTGTGGTGAAGGCACTGGACTCCCAACATAGCCAACCACAGTTCATCTCTGTTTCTCTCTCTGATGAGCACACATGTCCTCTAGCAAATTAAATAATAATAATAAATGAAATTAAATAAATAATTATTTTTAAAGACACCGTTGTTTTTATTTTATTGATTCTCTAGTTTATCATAGTATATATTTGACAAGAAAATATTTTTCATTTAAATCGCTAATTATTCAGTTGATGAACCAATCTTGAAACATAATCATATTACTAAATATATATTCTATATAGTTTGCCAGAAAGTTAGGACTACATTTCTAGGACTATTTGATCAGGTTAAACTCATCTAAATTATACAAATGTATAGTTTTGGAAATCCTACAACTCAAGGTCAGTGTGAAATGATTTTTAGAGGGGTGGTATGATAGAAGCAAAGAGCACGAATGAGCTTGCCATCAGAGAGATCTAGGTTCCCATTTCATTCTCATCACTTAATGATTATATGACCTTGAACAAGTCTATAAATTCATCTGAGCCTTAGTTTACTTATTTTGCAAATGGAAATAATAAAGATCTTGCAGAGTACTTGGCACATAGCAAAAGAGCCATAAATGTCAGTTCCCTTACCTTTTGAAGTGTTACATTTTCTAGGCATTACACAATATAAAGACCGAAGTAATACTGTAAAATATCTTCCAAGTTCTAGGAATATGAACTAAAATGTCAGAGAAATTTTCAAAATTTCTAAGGAATATTAAACACATGCTAGCGGATGTCATCTATTTGTACTTTTTTATTTTTCCCTCTTCTACTGTGCTCTCAACATTTTGACAGAGGGTCTACATTCCCATAGTGTCCACTACACTGGACTTTGCTGTGAACAGAGCAGTCTAGCCTGATGCTTACAGCTGGTAGTATTATATCAAGACTTCTGCCTTGATGCAGAAGAGTCCAAGTACCTTTTCTTAGGTCAGGCTACTCACCAGGCCTGATAAGAATAGCCAAAACCAAGATTTCTTTAAATCAACACCTTTCGGTTTTATATAAATGGTTCCACTAAATTATTCAATAACCCCAGGTGCTTCTACTGCTTTTAAGAGAAATAACTTTACCAACAAATTATTTAAAATACTTAGGATTAGAAGAAATTCTGAAGTCAGGAAAAGTGATAATTCCAGTGTAATTTGTTTTCTCTAGCATGGCAACCTCTGACCCTTCTGGATCCTTCAAGTGAAAAGGAAGACAAAAATACAAGGTTATGTTTCTTAACAACCTATAAATACAGAACCCACACATAAACATAATATGTGATGGGTAGTTCTAATAGCTATATTCACTAATATGTTCTAAGAAACTTTGTTAGAACTAAACATATGTGATGCTGGCCTAGCATTGAGGCCACAATCCACACTGGTCAGACTTGTTAACAAAGATTACTTTCTAAGACACAATGGCACATTTTGAATGGGCATAAGTAGTACAGTAAATATGTAAGATAATGCTAAATAAATTTCCAGTGGACACCTTCCCCATCTCTCTTTTTCCTGAACTTCTAGAATAATTTGTCTCAAATACCATTTTCAAAATGTCACTGCCATGGCCAAAAGTCTCCTTTAGCTCATTATTGACTTTATATCAAACCTCAACACATCTGGACTTGCCACAGCAATTGTTCCTGATCTGTTCATGTCTTTTCTTCATGGGGAATTCTAACAGGGGCATGGTAGGGTCTATGAGGACAGATATTCACCTTTATGATAGGTTCAGTTGAATCTGTCTGTCCCACTACAACTCTGCAAATGCAAAATAATACACCAGAGCTGCCACATCTCTCCCTTAAGTGTTATGAGCCAGTCTGTGGGGACTAAGCCACATGGCTGTCTGCATGTCTTGCTTCCTCCTGGCTGCAGACCTCTATTCCTTCTGCTTTGATAGCTTCCCTATCAAATTTTCTCCATGGTATTCATTATGGACCAACATAGGACTTGCCCTAGTCCTTCAATAATTTCCTCCAGAGAGGGAGCCATCATCCTCAGCAGCTTGCCTTCCTGGTCTATTCATCCCATATCACTCCTTATTTTGTTTACTATATTATACAAGTGTTATTATATAATTATGTGTCCTTGTCTGATCTCCCAAATGTGAATGCTCCTAGAATGACACACCTCATAATCCACCAAATAAATGAAGAGAAGGTAAGTGTTAAGGCTCTACAGATAGACCTAGGTTTGAATCCTAATTCAGCTAATTATTATCACTATATCTCAGTGGCTATTTGATTTCTCTAACTCTTAGCCTTTTCATCTATAAAATAGGGATAATAATTACACTGATCTTTGTGTGTGTGTGTGTATGTTTTTGTTGTTGTTGTTTTAGACAGTGTTTGCCATGTTGAGATCCTTCTACTTTAGTCTACCAAAAGACTCAGACTTCAGGCATAAGCCATTGTGTCAATCTTCTTAGGGTGGGCCACAATAAAACTGGACCTCCCATACAGTTTCAGTCTGTGGAACAGCAGCATCCAGCATATGCCACCACAGCTGGGCCTATGTTGATCTGTAAGGTTGTCATGAGACTATAATGCATGTTGTACTCTTCTCACAGGTATCATATTTTATACTTCTATAATCATTGCCACATTTGCCCTTGCCTCATAGATAGCAAGAGAATACAAACTGATTAACTGACCCATTTTACAGATGGAAGTCATCAAAACGTGTTCTTTAATGAAACCATCAATGAAACCATAGCGTAATGGCTATGTCGCTGGACTCCCACGTAGTCGACCGCGGTTCGCGTCCCGGACCCGGTGGTTTAAAACTCATGCCGGGCGCGTGTGCGTGCGTGCCCATGATCCTGAGAGGAGAATGGAGGAGAAGGGATTGCGGCGTGACCATCCCCCCTGGGGGGTGAT